GCCTGCGGCGCGGGGCTGGCAGCAGGGTCTGCAGGTGGGAACACGGTACCGTCCACAGGGCAACACAGTGGAGCTCCCCGAGGAGGAGAACACGCCGGAGAAGAGGGTGGACCGGATTTTCGCCATGATGGACAAGGTGGGATGGGGATGGGGATCAGGTGGGAACACGGTACCGTCCACAGGGCAACACAGTGGAGCTCCCCGAGGAGGAGAACACGCCGGAGAAGAGGGTGGACCGGATTTTCGCCATGATGGACAAGGTGGGATGGGGATGGGGATAGGGATAGGGGTGGGGATGGGGATAGGGATAGGGATGGAGATGGGGATGGGGATGGAGATGGGGATAGGGATAGGGATAGGGATGGGGATGGGGATGGGGATGGGGATGGGGATAGGGATAGGGATAGGGATGGGGATGGGGATGGGGATGCCAGTGAGCAGGAGGGATCTCAGCTGTTGTTGCCTCCTGCTCTCACACCTGGAGAGTTCAGTGGCTCCAGCTGATCCCTGGCTTATTGAACCTCGTTAATTAACACCCCCTGGCTAATTTAACAGAGCCAAACCTGGTGGAAGAAGCTTTTCTCTAAGGCTGCTGATGACCTTGTTCGGGACTGCAGCTGGCAGGTACGTGGTGCGGATGCGGTGGGGTCCAAAATGGGCAGCCCAGGAGGTAGGAGACACCCTGTCCCTCCCCAATGCTGTGCGAGGGTCCCCCTGAGGCTGGAGTGGTCCTGGCTGCTGCTTTCCCAGCACTGGAGCTGGAGAGGCCTTTGAATCTGAGGGTGACGTAAGGTGAAAACCTTTTGCAATTGCAGAGAAAGAGGGGAAAAAACGTGTCTGGAAGCCTTGTGCACATTTACTGAGTGTCTGGTGGGGTGGTAAGCACTGCAGCACTCAGGAGTCGTGTTTTTTGAAGCATAATTATCTTCTTTTTGCCTGTCTTGGCCTCCTCACTGCACTCTCTCTGGGGGACGCAGCCAGTGAGCATCGCTTCGGCCCTCCGCTTTTCCCGAAAAACAACAAGAAAGAGAAGGATCTGATCAGCCGCGGCCGCCCGAGACACCAGTGCCGGGGGAAGGGTACCCCGGCCTCCTCGTCCCCCCCTCAACCCTACTCCTCTTTCCTCCCTTTTCCAATGGGACCGTGGATGCGATGGCTCCTCCGTGTCCCTCTCCTGGGAAGCGGCCACCTGGAGATGGAGCCTGAAGGTACCAGGGGAGCCTGGGCACCAGCGGCGATTGGGAACAAAGTCCTCCGTTATCTGCGATTGATGCCCTTGGCAGCCCAGCCCAGGGGACTAGGGATATATATTGTATTATTATTTCTTTTTTTGTGAGACAGTATTGTGCTTTTTTTTTTTTTTCTTTTTTCCTCTGGGGGGAAAAAGTGAGGGTTTTTTTTTACCTATATATATATATATATCTCTACAGTTGACATCTTTATTTATTGGTTGTAAATGTTGCTGCTGTGTGTAGTCTCTCGCGCGTGTCCCAGCCCCTCGGAGAGGACGTGCCAGGTTTACAAGCTCGCGCGCTATTGCGGGGCGTCGGGAGCCTGCAATAACTCTGAAGCCAAAAAATCTGCCTCCCCCGTCGCTTCCCACCCTCCATCCCATGCGGCGTGGCCTGGCTGATGTTGCAAGGTGGGTTTGTAGCTTTTCATCCTCTTCCCATCCCCGAATTCCTGCATATGTGCCTGGCTTGGCTAAGGATCGCGCGGCTCCGAGCCCCTCCGGGCTCCTCTCCGCGGAGGCGCCCGCGTTGCCGTAACCGGCCCGGGCTTCGTGCGGGGAAGCACCCGCCTGCAGGACTTGCAAATTTGCATCTCGCCCCTTTTCTTACTGCATGAAAAGTATTGACGGAGCCGAGCGTTGGGTTTTGCTTTCAATCGACTCACGTTTCTCTTTGCAAAGTTTGTTCCTGCCCCGCAGCAGGGATGGGGGAGCGAATCCCACGGAGGTGCCGGGCACAGCAATCTCCTTCCCTGCGCCCTTTGGTGCCACCATTAAGCCCATGTGTTTGGTGGCATTTGGTGGCCAAGTTGGCACCGCGCTGCATCTGCAGGGGCAGCAAGCGGGGAGCTCGCAGCTCCGTCCTGGCCACACGGTGCCAACGTTGCCATCCCACTGGCTCCGGCCTCTCTGTCTCAAAGCGCCGTTGCCGTCTCCCACGTGCTCCCAGGTGCCACCAGAGCCCAAGGCAGCGGATGGACGTTGAGGAGGCTCTTGCCAGCGTCCGTGAAATGCTGGAGACGAGACCGGGAATGCTGAAATGCCCGGGAGTCTGATCCCTTCACTCCAGAGAGGCTGGTGGCTCCTGGGCTCCTGCATGCGGATGCTGGCGGAGGCCGGAGCTTCTCTAGGACTCCGCGTTGGTTCCTGCGCTGCCCGGAGCCTGGTGAGACACTGGGATGTGGATGCTCTCCCAGTACCACGGAGAATTGGGATCCTTCCTTCTGCTGTTTGCCGACACCTTTCCCATCCCTGGCGCTTGGAGCTGTGTTTGCTGATGCCCGCACGAACACTCCTCTCCCCAGAGGGGACTGACCTCCGTCCTCGTGCAATATTTGAGGCAGCTGGTGCCAACCCCATGGGTGACTCCAGGGGAAGAGCATGCTGGGCACCTGGAGCGGTGGCAGCATCTCCTCCCGGCCTGAGGATCCACATCCGTGATCCATGCGAGGATTCCCCTCTTAGCAGCGGAACGGGATTTGCTCCGGGCGGCAGGGGCATTAGCAGAGCAAAGGCAGCGCGGGGGCGAAGGGCTCCACTGAGCCCCAAAACGGCCTCGCGGGCTGCAGGGCTTCATCCGAAGACCTCGAACTCGGCGTTTCCAGGAATGTTTCTGCCTCAGCTGCAGCTCGGGCCCCGCGTGCGCCCGTGCTCCTGTCCCGGGTGGTGTCTGGAAGGTGCCTCCTCGCTCCTGCCCCTGGAAACGCCTTTTCCTCGACGCTTTGTGGCCAAAACGCAACTCTTTTGGGCAGATCTTTGCAGTGCCTCAAACTTCTCCGCCTCTCGCCCGCCAGCCCGGTCCCCTCCTGGTGCCAATTGACGTTTCTGATGAATGTGACGCTGCTGAAACCGTCTCTGCTGAGAAACAGGGAACTGCGGCCACCAAGTCAGACCCGGACGAGCGCCGGGGTCCTTCGCTGTGCCGCGTTCCTCTGCAAGGCTTTTCAGTTTGCACTAGCTTGGCGCCTCCCAGCCCAAGGGCCCAAGGACCCGCGGTGCTTCCCTGTAAATATTCCAGCTCGGAAAGAGACCGGCCGCTTTGCCGCAGAGCCGGTGCCGACGTCCCCGGCGGCCCTTCCCTGCTCCCGGCCGCAAGGCTTAGGGATGTAGCAGTTCCTTGGCCCGACATCTTGGTTGTCCCTCACACCCTCTAAAATATTTGCACATTAAAACAAACAAAAAAAGCAAATAATGATTTTTTTTTTGCCTGTATTGAGAAGCTCTCGGCTGGTTATTGAAGACCTGAGTGGGTTTGGGCTCCTGTGGGTCGTGGGTGGCACTGGTGGCGGTGGCCTGTCCCCCTCCCTGCCCCAGCTCTTCACGTGCCGAGCGCCTCCACGCGACTAACAGAGCTTCCCTGCGGATCCCTCACTCCCTGCGGAATGTGGATGAGAGAGTGGGGATGGAGCAGCTCCCGCGAGGACGCGTTGGCCCTGACCGCTCTGTTTGCCCATGGCGAGGGTGGCCACGGGGCCGGCGGGAGGGAGCTCGCTGGGAGGGCACGGGCACCAGGAGCAGGGCAGGGATCTCAGCGCCTTCGGTTTACGGGGCCAGATTCGCTTCCACCCTCCTCTTGAATCTGCTCCATATATCAAAAACGAGCGAACTGTGAGACCTGCTGCCCCGTGGCTGTTTCCAACGCCCGGTGCTCGGCAGGGCCGAGGCGCCGCGCGGTGCCCCCCGGCCCCTGTCATCCCTCCCGTCCCGGTTGTCCCCATCAGGAGGCAGCACCTGCGCTCGCTTTCCCCATTCGTGGAGCTCTGGTGCCGCGGATGGCGCCAGCAGCCCAAGCAAGCAGGGCCGGGGGGCGCAGCGGGGAGCCCTGGGGGGCACCGGGGTTTTACCGCTGTGATGAGCGGTCAGTTCTCAGCTGCCGCCGGGAGCTCCGCTGCTGCCGTGCGGCACCACAATGCTGCTCCTGCTGCCCTCTCTGCCAACACGCAGGGTTTGTTCCAGCCTTTCCCCCACGCTCAGGCTCGTCCTCCCTGCTGCGCCGCAGCGCAGTCGCGCAGTGCCCCCGTGCCGCCCCCTTCCCTCCCTGCTCTCGGTGCACAAGGGCTGCCCATTCCCTCCCTGCCTCTGTGTTTCCCAGTCCGTAATTGAGGCCCCCGGCAGCCCCCTGCCCTCCCCAGGCTGAGGGATGTGACGGGGGTGAGCGAGGGGCCGGGGGCTCCCCACGCCGCCAGCTCTGCGGGGAGCAGCACCAGCACAGCCCGCTTGTTCGCGCTGCTAACGAGGGCGACTAATTAATTTCAGGAGCCCGGAGGAGAAGCACCAACGGGCTGAACAACGCGGCTGTGTTTGCAGGGCAGGGGCCTCCGCTGCACCGTCCCTATGGCCGAGCACGCGCCGTGCGGAGCACATGGACACGCTCAGCCCTGGCCTTTATGGGGAGCCAGGAAAACTCAGCCCTGGGCTCAGCTCAGCGGCCTTGGCCAGCCCAGCCACGGGGCGCCCGGCCAGGGCACGGCCTTTCCTGTCCCTCCTCCTGCCCCCTGTTCTTCCCACTGCCCCCAAATTTGCCACCATGTCACCATGTGCTCGGGAGCCTCTGTGAGCCCCTGTCCCCACTGCCGAGGGGCTGGGCCGTGTCCCCCCGCCAGGTCCCCGTGCGCGGCGGGCGGGG